CGGCGGGCCGTGCACCCCCCTCCCCGCGGCGGCCCAGGGCCCCCGACCAGGCCCCATCCCCCGGGCCGCGCTCCCACCGCGCGGCTTCGGACCACCCTCCTGTCCACCCCTTAAAGAGTCCATTTCGGTCCTCACGCCGACCCCCTCCAACCGACTTTTACCTCTACCCCTCCGGGATGACTTGGGGGCGGGTATAGGGGACTCAAAGCAAGGGGCGGTGGAGGATGGGGGAGGGGAGGTCCAGGGCTGGGGTGGGGTCGGGAGGCTGGCTGCACGGGTTCCACCAGGGGTCCCAGGCCTGGGGTGTCAAGCCGCATTCTGTTGCCCTCGGCGACCAAGGGGTGTGCCCTGGTGCCGACTGTGTCCCCAGCTCAGCTGGGAGGCCTAGCTCGCAGGAGCACTGGTTAGGAGAGGTTTTTCCGCTGTCAATTCAGAGGTTCTTCTGAGCCTGTTTGGAATCTGCCTGTCAGTTTCTTGGGTTCTGAGGCCCTCCAGCTACCTTCCCAGCTCTTTCTGTCCTTCAGAGCCAAACAAAACCGTGTCTACATTTCGTCCCTTCCCATTCATTCTTAAAACCATCCACTCTGTCTTCTGTCTCCAACACCCACTGAAACTGCCCACGCCAAGGTCACCTGAGACCTCTGTGTGGCAAACTCCAATGGATGTCTTGCTCTTACCCCCTTCATCTTTCAGCAATGTTCCGTGTGTCAGTTCACTCTCCTTGAAGCATTTTCTGGTTTCCCTCCTGCGGCATTGTCTGCTCCTTCTCAATTTCATTTGCTCCTCCCTTCTTCTCTCTTTAGGTGGTGGGGAGACTCTTGGGTCTGTTCTGAGCTGTGCTCTTTCATTCTGCCCTTTCTAACCAGGTAATTATTCATATCCAGGGCTTCAGATTTCATATATATGCTGATGATTCCTAAATGTATATATCCAGCCCAGACTTCTTTCCTGAAATCTGTCATATACATCTGTGGGTACACATGCACATGCATGTGTGCATGTGTAGGAGAAGGGATTGTGGCATATGTCTATGTCTATGTCATATGTCTATGTCATATGTCTAACTATTGACATCCCTTTGGAAGTCTAACAGGAATCCCAAACCTAAGATCCCAACTATCTTCCCTGAGTCCCTCTTTATCCTACTTCCAAATTTATTCTTTCAGATCTCAGAAATGGCTACTTTTCGATCAGTTGCCCAAGCTGGAACCCTGGGCAACATTCTAGATTACACTCCCCCTTGTTCTCTACATTAAATTTTACTAAGTTTGGATGCATCTACTACCTAAGTATTTCTCAAATCAATGCATTTCACTGCATCTGCACTGCTGTCAAACTTAATGTAGGCCACCACCCTACTTTTCCTTGACTGTTTTAATAGTATAACCTCTTGCCTATCTCCCTTCAACCATTTTGAACACAGTAGAGTGACCCCTTTTTAAAAATGCTTGTGATCATTTATTCATTCAACAAATATTGTTTGAACGTCTAATGGATACCAAGGACTGTGTTTGGCTCTAAAGATAATAATTATGACCAAAATATACTGGCTCCCTGTTCCCATAGAACCAGCAATGTAGGAGGGAATCAAATGACATAAATGTAATAAATACCATGAAGGAGAGGGGTATGGTACCTTGAGAACACACAAGAGCAGAAGCTAAACTGGTCTGCGGGGAGGGAGAGAGTGTCAAGGAAGGCTTTTCTGAGAGCACGGGTCTGCACTAAACTGTAAAGGATAAGTAGGAGTTAATTAGGCTGAAAGTAGGGGAGGAAGGTCTCAGACAGGGGGAAGTAATGTGTTCTAGGAGAGAACATCATGTTTTTAAGGAATCAAAAGGCCACTCAGGATAGAGAGCAGAATGACCAAAGCTGGGAGCAGGAGGAAGGAAAGCAGGGACCAGACCAAGCAGGACAGTTTAGGCCATGTTAAGAATTTTGGTCTTTGGGCCTCAGTAGTGGCATGGTGGTTGGGGCACCGGAAGTCCACATGACTGACCACAGTTTGAGTCTAGATCCAGAGGCTTGAGGGTCATGCTGGGCATGTGTGCATGTATACCCAAAATCCCAAGAGGAGAATGGAGGAGAAGGGATTGTGTGGTGTGGTTATCCCCCTGGAGGATGATTTCTCATGTTTCCCTCTTCTGTCTCTATGGAGAATGCATGTGCCCCAATGGCAAAAACATATAAACAAAAAATAAAGAATTTTGGTCTTAAGTCTTAATTTTTGGTGTAGATTGCTGATGATAGTGGGTGTGGAGAGTGGAGTAAGTCCAGAAGTGTATCTCAGAGAAAAAAATTCATATGGGGATGGATTGAATATAGGGAATAAGGGAGAGGAATGTGTCAAGGTTGGTACCCCTACTTCTGGTTTGCACGCAGGATGGATGGTCAAATCATTCCATGAACCAGGTTCCCAAAAGGGGGTTAGTTAGAGGTTGAGAGTGAGAAACATGAGTGGCCATATTAGTTTGAGAGGCTTTTGAGACATTCAGGTGAAGATGTTGGGTAGAAAGTTCAGTGTGCCTGTCTGAAGCTCAGATGAAGAATCTGAAAGGAGACTTAAATTTGGAAATCATTAACGTACAGAGGGTAACCAAAGCTGTGGGCATGAATGAGTGCCTATACTGAGGAAGAGAAAGGGGCATAAGAACAATCCCTGAGAAACTCCAGCATTTGATGGCCTGCAAAGGAATCTAAGAAGTCAACAAACAGTAACCAGAAGGGAAAGAAGAAAACCAGGAAATGGAATGCGTAGAAGCCAGGGATGAAAGTTGGATGAGAAGTCCATGGGGTCTAGTGCTGTGAGAATACAGCCAAGATGAAGACTGCAAGTGTTGGTTGGATTAACTGACACAGGGGTCCTATGGACCTGGACGGGAGCTGTTGCTGAGTGTGGTTGGGAGTGGCTGCTGGATTGAAAGGGTTGAGGAGTGAGTGGGAGGTGAGAAATGGCAACAGTGAGTAGAGATAGCTCTTTGAAGAAGTTTGGCTGTGTGGGGGAGGAAAGAGAATAGTGAGTGTCTCTGGAGGAGTGTTGGGTCAAGAAACATTTTGCTTTTAAGTTGGTAGATAGTGGATCCCAGGGAGGAGAGTTTAATTATATATTGATAGAAGAGAAAATGGATTCAAAATTCCTGGAAAGGCATGGCAGGAAGGATCCAAATTATAGGGGAAGCAGTTGGTCTTAGGGAGAGGAAGAGAAAAAGATAGATACTGAATCTGATATATTTGTGTGTTTGAGGATGAGCCCCAACTGGCAACTTATGTTTCCTCTGAATTAGGAGAGTAGATCTTCCCCTGAGAAGAGGGAGTTGAAAAGAGGTGGTTCAAGAGAGTCGTGTTCTAGATCTTGGTGAGTGTCTGGGTTTGAGCCCCAGGCTCCTGTAGTGCCCTGTTCTTCCCTCTTCATAGTAGTCAATCATTTATTTGTCACATAGGTCACATGTATAGGTGCCAGGCGTAGGTACTGGCCTTACACTGCGCTGTGATAAGTTCTTCCATGGCTCTTTCCCCCTGTCAGTGAGCTACTCCGGGGAGTAACCCTTTCTTCATTATTCATCACCCTCCTGTGCCTAGCACAGTGCCTGGCATGGAGTAAGCTATCAGCCTAGAGGATCCCTGACTTTGAGAAGACCCATCCCCTAACCTGCAGTCTGAAATCAGCTTCTTCAGGCTTAGTGACCACCTCTTTCAGCGCCTGCCCCAAGGCCTGCCCAGGTCCTTCCCTTGAGCCAGAGCCCATCGGACTCCTTCCATCCTTGGAGATGCTCCAGGTATGGATAACCCTAGTGAGGGTAAGAGGTTGGAGGATGCTCTTTATTGAAGAAATTAGGCAGCTGGTCACTTTTTGACACAAAAAGGGAGGTACTAGTGACCATACCACCTTGGGCAAGTTGCTCAGGCATTAACACTTACAACAGAACTTTCCCCTGGTGTTTTCTGTCCTGGTGACCAGACGGCCAGACTGCCCTGAAATCAACCTGGCCTTTCATAGCCCCAGCCTTGCAGTGCATGTGCCCTTCTCAGAACACACTTCCCAGACTGACCTCTGAGACACCAGCCCTGTACTTCTGCTTCAGAGAAGGGTTGCTCATCTGTAAGGTCCTCTGGAAGGGAGGGAGTTGGTCCCAGATCCTTGGGACCTTCTACCTCCTGAAGCTTATAGAGATGCCACTGTTGAACAGTCTCTGAGCCAGGATGTTTGTTGAACCTTACTCCCTCCCTCCCTTTATTCTTAGATCTCTGCTTTCTTCTTTTCTATCTGACTTTCCTCTTGGGGACCCTTTGTCATTCTCTGGCACCCTCCCTAATGCTCCCTTTGCCCACTCCCAGCCCATGGGCCACACAGGTTGAGCCATTCCTGGTATCTATTTCTAGTGCCTATTCCTCCCCCGCCACCACCACCACCAGGGTCTGTTTCCTCCATATTTCCTTTTCTTCCACACGATGGCCTACTCCATGGCAGATACAGCACTGTCTCCTTAAGAAAGCAAAATTGGGAACCAGCAGTTAGCGTAATGGCTATGTCGCTGAACTCCCACATAGTCGACCGCGGTTCACGTCCCGGACCCGGTGG